AAAGCGCATGCGCAGAATGAATGACTACATATAATCGCTTAATACATAGAAAGTCAGCCGCCTTGTACATAAGCAGTTAGCAGTCTAGTATTATATAGAAGTCTGTGGGCTCTCCTCAGGGACGCAGATATGCCCCGCGCGCCTTCTCTTACGTGTTACGAGCGCCGCGGAGAATCGGTGCGTACACGTCATATTGGAAGACGATAGTGAGGGGTTTTAACTGCGGCCTTGCCGTCGTCGACGAAACGGGAAATTCGCCGCGGCGTCACGACCGAGAGACTCTGGTGGGTCCCCCGGGTTTGCACCGTTTTCTCTCCTACTTTCGTCGCCCGCTCGTCGACCGATTGTTGACGAAAGTTTCAAGTACAACTCTCTCCCTCTTTCTCGCGCGAGTCGCTAATCGAAGAGTCGATCGTTCCTCGGGTTAGTCGAGAGGGATTTCGCGTAACTCGCGCGCCGTTTCGCAAGAGACGCGGAGATAAATCGATCGCGATCGCGCACCCGAGCGCCTTTCTTCCTGAATCAATTCACGTTTCTCGATTTGCCTGCATTTACCAACCGCATATGTGCGACCTCGATGCAACCTGTTCCCGCGGCGCGCACCGCGGTGTAACGTTACCTGTTTGCAAAACGCCCGGTCGCCCGCTCCGGCGCCAACGGGCTCCATTCAAACACCCGAGATTAGCGGCCGCGGCCGATTTCCAATTTTAATCACCGCCGGATCATCTCGCACTTGGCGGACTCGCGGCGTGGCTCTTACGAGATGTTCAGCCTCTTTGGCGACGGCACCCAAACAAAACGCTATAAATAAAGCCGTGAAAACAGTGGAGCGGGCCGCCCCAGACGAAGAAACGGGGATCTCGCGCCGATAATCTGGCCTTATCTATTCCGGATCGCCTGGCAGTCAAGGGCAGACTTCTCTTCCTCCGTCTTCACCGCCGTCACGGTTATGTTTCATCGTTCGCGTTCGAGACTCCGGGGCTCGCATCGGCGAGAGAGAGAGAGAGAGAGAAACCCCTCTGTTATCCACCAACTACATACATACACCCGGAAGAACAGCTGGTCGCCGACGAATCTGACTCTCCGAGGAAAATTGTCAAAGGACGCACGCTCGCGCAAGGAATGACCCGAGCTCAGAAAAAATGTTCAAGTCGGATCTTCGGTTATCCGTTCCAAAGTATTCCGCGCGTTTACAGGCTGCTCGCTATTCGTGGAATACGCAAAGTCATTTGCTAAAAACAATCTCTTACAGATCTTTCGTGATAACAAATAAGTCGAAGACGCGAGCAATATTATTTCGACAATAAACCGTTGAGAAATCTTTTTAAAACATGCGTTGTTGCTCGCGTTCCTTGCCCTGTAAGGGCAAAAATCACTCGAGTGCTCGAGTGTATCATTTTTCTTGGTTGCTCACCGAATCTTAAACGAGGGTTGAAGACCGTCTTGAATTCATCTAAAAATGCTGTATGGAACATTTCATTGGCTACGGAGTATCTAAAGATGATCTTAAGACGGTCTTGAATAGAAGATCCGACTATGAATACCGGCCTAAGTTTGCTGCACAAAACGCATATAGCTGTCTCCACTACTTATCACACCAATGTGGGTATGACAATCGCAGATATAGCTGGTCCAAATATTACTATTTATCAAGGTTGTACCAAACCTAATTAGACATGCGGTAACCATATCGGTCTCTCCGTGTGTAGAAAATTGTCGAATCTCGCGAGAAAAATAAATGTCGCGTGGAACGCGTGATTGGACTTTAAAGGCCCGTCTACATAGGACGCAATACGCAAAACGCAGGACGCAGACGCGCATGCAGGATGACGTTTGGTTCAACTAGTCGCGTATGACTGATTGCGAATGCGTGTACGTTGCGTGAAACGTCCATCCTGCATGCGCGTCTGCGTCCTGCGTTTTGCGTTTTGCGTCCTATGTAGACGGGCCTTTATGTAGACGGGCCTTAAGACGAACGCACCGCGATCGCGCCCGCGTTTGTGAATCACGTGCCATTCCATCGGTGCCTAACGGTACCCGCGTTACAAAATTATCGGGAGGCGTGCGACTCGGCGATACCATCTGCGAATTTTCGTCCGGACCCCCGTTGCAATTAGCGGTCAACGCGAGACACAGTTATGGCGATTCGTCATTCAAGGACAATCGGCCGGAGGTGTAATTAACGATTCCGTCGCGCGGTGCATGAAAGAAGCCTCCCGGCCACACATCGCGAGCGTACATCGATCGCATCTGATACGCAACACCCGTCGCCCGTTCTCACGCACACGCGCCCTCATAATCGTGGGCGATCATCGACTGCGCAATATCGCGCGTGCAACAAGTTACTTTTGTTAACCGCACGTAGGAAGAAGGCAGCCGGTATATTGTATATAAAATCCAACCAGATCCGCGCTCTCACGCATCCGGGCAAATTTCGGGAGCAGATAACTGGGACACGAAACGTATTGAAACACGATATATACGATCGTTTATTGTTTTAGATGAACCCTCTATAATACATATATATATGTATATATATGTGTGTACATGTATATGTAGTTTTTCCAATGCGTTCGTTTTCGAAAACTAGTACACGCCGCGATGTTTTCAGTAGCCGCGTACGATTGAAACGTCGAAAGCACGAGTGGCAAACGGGATTTTGGCGTACGAATGTTGGGGTAAAAGGACACAAAAAAAAATACGCGGGGACGAATCGAATTTTGCCAAAAGTGGACTTGACCCGATTGTATTTGCGGGGCCGCGCTTCAGTCGGATCCCGCGAGTCCGTGTCCCGTTGTTGAACGGGCGTGACGGGATAACGAAATGCGGATATACAATACAAACACAAATCTGAATATGAATTTATCGGGCCGTTATGGAGCGTCAATCGGCCGGTCTTTAGGGTGCAGCGAATTGCACCGATGCGAACGGCCCTTTCGAGCGCGGCCGGCCGACGTGATTATTATTGAGCGACAACAAAGGCAGGCTAATTGGCACGAGGCGCGCAACGTGTGCTCGCCCAGGACACGGACGGCCGTTATCGCCCGAGAGCCCGGTAATTAAGGCGAAAGAATACAAATTGTGGCGGTTGCGAGCGGTGCTATTAGCGCGAGCCCGGGTGCTGCGCGAATGATACGATTAGCGGAATACATTCCGATACGCCGCCGAACGGGGAGGGCCGGCCCGCGTTTTCGCCAAGGGCATTTAACGAACTTTATTCACGGCACCGGCGCCTCGTAACAATCGAGCCGCTTGCCCGTCGACCCGTGGATCGGCGGGACGCGCTATCGGCGACGCGATATTAATCGCGCGGCGAAATAAAGCGTAAATAGAACGTGAAATGGGGAACGAACGGGAGACGCCGGAAGGAAGCGACGTGCAATCGCGGCGCGGGACGTGGAAGAGAAATTAATACGTTCGTTTGGAGGACAAAGCGGATCTGGACATGCACTTTGACATTAATCGTTTTTATCGCGCGGAACTTCACGATGATGTTACTTTCCGGGAATTTTTATTTCGTTATATATTTAGCTTGAAAAAAAATGCGGCGCGTCAAAAAATGAAACTTGACGCGCGCATGACCTATTCCGCGCACATTTTCACACTCTTTAACACACGAACGTGTTTTTTTTTATTCTCTCCTTCTGACCTTATTTGGTACATACATTTTTCTCGCGTACGTGGGATTTTATTACGAAGAATACGTGTCCCTGATCGGATTTATGTTCAAATAAGAGAGACGTAGAGTTTATATTTAAAACGGCAACGGATCAAATTAATGCGCCAACACATTGTAAGATAAATTCAGAACGGACGGTTCTGCAGTGATATTTTTACTCTACTCTTTTCCTATTTTTCACCAAGTTATCCGTTTGCTCTCCTACTCGTCGCTTTGTCGCCGCCAACTCGTCCCGAACACTTTGATAATTAAACTAATTTTTTCACGAAATTACCTGAGAAATATGATATTGGCATCCACGGATGACGATCCGTGTAAATCGGCATTTCTAGTGATCCATAATGACGCGAATGAAACGGCGAGTTTATCATTTTCGTTCGGAAATGTCGTCTCTCGTAACTGTTTCTCCCAAGAACCTCGTTACACTCGCAACCTTCGACAGACACTTTGGGGACTGAGCTGACATCGAAATAATTTCCGTAAACGTAGCGCATTATGGTAGAGG